TAACTGTCATTTAATTTAAGAAACCTGTAGAAATTATAAATAAATAGAAATGCAGTAGCATAAAGACAGTTAGGACAATAAACCTTTATTTTGTGAACTACACAAATACATGATTGATTGTTAACTTCTTTCATAAAATTGTCGCTTTTTTAAATCTAATTTATTTTAATTTAGTTGATTTGTAGATTGAGATTAAGTTGCTGTTTGATTTCATTTTCATTTCTTATAATTTGAATTATTCATTACAAGTTAGGTTTATATTTCATTTAATGTAAGAACAATATATATATTATATATTTATAAGTAAATCAGGTAATAATCTAATATTAGATATTGGCTATATGTTGGATGATATAAAGGTATTACTTTAGTGAAAATGTTTCCAAGCTCCTTATAGTTTTAGCATACAGGCTATAATAAACTGTTTTATTAACACTGATTGTGTTTAAAAGTTTATACAATAAAACAATGTCATGTCCCCTGCACTCTTTCAAAAGGCTGTTTTGGTCCCCTGCAGTTTAACCCTAACCCGCTGTCACTCCATCTTGCTTGCACACAAGTAGCAAAATAAAAATAGAAGAACAACTAGAAAACACAGTGAACTGAAAGAGTTAGTGTTTAATTAAAAATACTTGTGTCCCCCCCACCTCTGAAATCAAAATTTCGTCCTTGATAACATTAATCAGTCTTTTGTAATCCTACAATGTTTGATAATTATATCTCACCGTAATCAGAAATGTATGTTCTCATAAAAGTTTCCTTTGATTTTATTAATGAAATATAAAATAGCAACTGATTTTACATTGTGTAATCAGATATTTGATACAATAAAAATGAAACGTTAGTTACATATTGTAACTCCAGATTCTATGAGTATAGGCTCCGCCCTCTAAGAGCTATCGCTACTGGGTTTATCCCTTAGAAAAAATAGTCCACGCCCACCCACGCTGCAACAGGGCTGTCAGAGCAGCCACTCGCTGCTGTGATAACCGTGCTGTCATGCTGGCAGAGTTCAAGTCCACAAAGGGAGGGTTGGCCCAGCCAAAGCCCGAGCGACCGCCCCTAGGGCCCTTCCATGGAGCCTGCTGACCAGCCGAGGAGAGTGGGAAGGAAGGCCGACCCGGCGTGAAGGAGGAAGCCTGTCGCAGCATAGGTTTGGGCGGCAGACTGATGGATCCGGTCGGCCTGCCGAGCGATGTACTGGTCCTTCGGTGATGTCAGTAAGGGTCGCCGTCCGGCTGCCGTACTGACCCCAAAAAATGTGGTGAGGCCTCGGTCGCTGAACCCAGCAACCTTGGTGATGGGCACATATGTTGAGATAGGCGCCTTCAGACTCTTCGGGTCTGCTGCTGCGCCCTCCTGGTACTTCTGGATGGGCGGGAAGTTGGGCCACACAGCATCTCGCTGCTCAACTGAGCGAGGGGAAAAACGCCGCACATCTCATCCACTGGGGCGGTTTCCTGCTGCCGCATCTTTTATGATGTCTGGTAGCTCCTTCACCAGTCCGCCGATCGATGGCAGGACGGTGGCCAGAGAGGGAGGGATCCTGGACTCCCCCGGGATGACACATCCACTCTCGGCGTGCTCCAGCTCTCCCGCCTGGGAGAGGGGAGGTCCTTTTCCCCACAAAGCGGTCTGTCTGACATTCGACTTGCCTGGTGTCACACTGGCTTTCTGCCTCTCTTGTGAGAGAGAGAGAGAGAGAGAGAGAGAGAGAGAGAGACAGAGACAGAGAGAGAGACAGAGAGACAGACAGACAGACAGACAGACAGACAGACAGACAGACAGACGGCCAGCAGCTGACGAACCTTGTGGTGGAAGGTTTGTCTTGGTTGTGCTGTGTATGTAGATGATGTTGTCCTCTTCAGTGACAGTTGGGAGGAACATCTGCAGAGGATACATGCACTGTTTGACAGATTGGTGTGGGCACAGTTAACAGGTACAGTTACCTATTTAGGAAAAGTGATGGAGCAGGGGGAAGATTTACCCTGTTGAGCCAAAAGTTGTGGCAATCAAGAAATTGATGTGTTTTCTCGGGATGGTGGGGTATTACAGAACTTGGGTTGGGTTCTTTTAAAAAAAAGATCAATTCATATCAGTTGAACTACTGGTGAAAAGCACCATGTTAGCATTTTTAGTGGAGGAACTGAAATAGACTGGACTGCTCCTGGTGATCTCTGCTATGAATCTCTAACTACAGTTATTATTTTATATGAAGCAAGATGTAGAAATAGAAAAAAGTCCAATGAGGTGTTATAAGAACATTTTTATGGAGATGTATGTACTTGTTTCATCCTCTGACCTTTAATTGTCTTTGTGACGTAAAAATCTGGATGTCCAATAATTTATCTCAGTTGAACTCAGAAGGAGATCCTTCTCATTGTTGTCAAAGTCTGCCCTCTGCTGGTTCCTGAGGCCCATTGGTCTAACCATTGGTGTCTAGTTCAACAGTAGTTTAAATTTTGAGCAACACACCATAACAATCAAGTTTTTGTCATTTTAGAAATATTTAAAAATCCAATGTACTTTCTCCAGAATCTTAGAGAGGAAGGGGAGGTTAAAAATCGGTCTATAGTTGTCTAAAACCCCTGGGTCAAGAGTGGGCTTTTTATAGGACTCTGTTAAATTCAGACATGGCATTGATTTAAACACTGAAGGAATCTCCTCCTTAAATTTAGCTCCAGCACTGTCAGATAGACATCTGCGGTAGGAAGTTTTGCCCAATGGCTTATAATCTAATAGTATGAATTCAAAAGTAATTAAATAATGGTCAGATAGGAAAGGATTTTGTGGAAAGACTATTAATATGATAGAACAAGGTCAAGAGTGTGATTAAAAACAATGAGTGGGTTTATTTACACTCTGACAGAAGCCAATTGAGTCTATTAATGATATAAATGCGTTACTAAGGCTGTCATTGTTAACATCCACATGAATATTGAAATCACCTACAATAATTACTTTATCTGATTTAAGGACTAAACTTGATAAAAACTTTGAGAGTTCAGATAGAAAATCAGAGTACGGTCCAGGAGCGCGGTACACTATAACAAATAGAACTGGCTGCCGTGAGTGAGAAAGACTAAGAACAAGGCATTCAAATGAATTATAATTTAGTTTAGGTTTAGGGTCAATTAAAAGGCTTCGGATCATATATGGCTGCCACTCCACCTCCTCGGCCAGTGCCTTGAGGAATGTGAGTATTAATATGACTGGGGGGGGTGGATTCATTTAGGCTAACATACTCCTCGTGGGACAACCAGGTCTCAGTAAGACAAAGTAAATCAATATCATAATCTGATATTAATTAATTCACTAAAACAGCTTTAGAGGACAGAGACCTGATATTTAACAGCCCACATTTCATTCTCTTATTTTGTGCTACTGAGGAGCTGGTTTTAATTTTTATAGGTTTTTATGTTGAACTCCTCTTGTTTTTATTTCTTTAAATAATTTAGGTGGTCGGGGGACAGACACAGTCTCTATGGGGTTTTGGGTGGGTGACTGTTCTAAAGAAAGTGCAGAGAAGTGTGTCAGACAGCAGCTCTGCTTCCTGGTCCTAACTCTGGATTGTCAGGTTTTCTCTCTTTTTCTCATGTTTCTGGATAAGAGAGCCGCTCCATCCAAAGTGGGATGGATGCCGTCTCTCCCAATCAGACCAGGTTTTACATTTCTATACTTAATAAACCCAACATTTAAATATACGTTTTTAAACTACTTATACTGACTCTGGACTGGTTTAAATCCTGAATGGATGAATGTTGTAATCTGTTTGTGTTTGGTGGCAGATCCAAACCAGAAAGTGATCAAATCCAATGTCCAAGTTATGTTCCCTGCACATTTAAATCAAGCAAGTTGAAGAGGTTCATCCCAGCATCACAGTGCAAAGATCACTACACTCCTCTGGACAGTCTAAAACATATTTATATACTGAACATCTAATCATGATATGTTTTCTGTTGTGGTAATGAAAAAAATCACACTTCAGCAATTAGCTCTCATTATATCAGTGAAGGATTTAAGTTTTATTGATCATGTTGACACAATTCTTCACACAAAAGGATCCATATGAGGACAAACTTCAGATACACAACCTTAACATGGTCAACCTGAACTTCAGTAGCTGGTAGAACAAATTAAATTAAAATGAGGGAGGGCAGTAAACACCCTGATTAGTGAGTGTCATCAGCCAAACTACCACCAGGAGGATAAAAGGAGGATATCCACTGTTTTAAATAAATATGTAAAATCATTTATTGGAAATAAAAAATACTTCAGGAAAGACTCTTTAATAAAAGTATGTTTTCAGAAGAGACTTAAACCAGATCACTGACTCAGCCACTGACACAACCAAAGGACTTCTGCCACGAGCATCTAAAAGTACGATCCAGAGAGTGCCTTACAAAGAGCTTGGAGATATAGTAGTCGAACAGGCCATGAAGAGCCTTAGAAGTAATCAGTGAAATCTTAAAATCAATTGTAAAACGTACTGGGAGCCCATGTTAAGAGGCTTAAACAGGGCCTCTAAAACCAGCAGATAGAATAATTTATTTTGTCATGTGCTGGGAGCCGATGACAAGGATCTCTGTTTGGTTTGAGTTCAACTTATATAATTTATTTGACATCCAGTTTCTTAGGTCACAAAGGCATTCAAGAGTCAATGGATCTAACAGGCACATACAACTGTGTATCATCAGCAAAACAATGAAAAGAGAATAATGTGCCCAATGAGAAGCGTGTGTAAAGAAAAAACAATTGTTTTTACACCCAATAGTACATTATTTATCTTTGTACAACATTTAATCTGCCACAGAAATAAATAAAAATGTAATCAGACATTTGTGGTAAGAACAAAATCTCTAAGATAAAGGAAGGTCTGGTGCGTTCCCTGTAAAGAAACACAAAGTGAAAGAGAAACAATAACAAATACATCAATACAAATATTCAGCAAACATTGAGAGCAAACAGAAGTTTATATTAACATACAGAGAAATGTCAAATATCATCATGAGCAGTGATAGCCTCCATGGTTAAACAGACACAGGTAGGAGCTCCAACTAAAGAAACTCAAACATTTGAGAAGATGTCAAAGTACCGCCCACAATGTTTGATTGACAGGTGATCAATCAGCTCTCAGAAACAAAAACATGAGGAAGATATCAGTTTAAGTACAGAAATACAGAATTTAACATGTTGTCCCTTAAAGGACTTCCGTCTACTTCAGTTTACAGAACTCAGCAGTGTCTACAAAAAAAAAAAAACAAAGTCCAGCATAAAGAGGCTGAGTGAATGTGGTCTGGACTCTGTGGAGGAGAGTCATGGTTTTGGAGACGCTGTAGAAGGACAGAATACCTGCACTGTGATCCAGATACACTCCAACTCTGGAGGACGGAGGACCTGAGACTGGAGTTTGGACATTGTTGTAACAAAACGTATAACTGTTGTTGTTACAACTTAAAGCCCAAGATTTGTCATTGAATCCAAATCCACAATTTTTTTGGCTCCCTGCTCTGATGATATTCTTGTATGCAACTGCTATGCAAACTCCTTCCCCTCTCCACTCCACCTCCCAGTAACAACGTCCAGTCAGACTCTCTCTACTCAGGACCTGACAAAATTTAGTGAATCTGTCTGGGTGACTTGAATAAGTCTGTTGTTTACTCATTACTGTTGCTTTTCTGTTCCCCTCAGATAATAACAGCTGTGTGTGTGCTGTGTTTGGATCCAGTGTGATTTCACCTGAATATCTTAAGAAATCAGCTCTGGTCTTGGGCTCTGGTTGTGGCAGTAAAACATCCACTTCAGTCACTGTCAGTGAGACGTTTGTCCATTTCTCTCTCAGAACGTCCTGTAGTTTATCTCTGAGCTCTGAAACAGCCGCTGTCACATCCTCAAAGTACCTCAGAGGACGGATATTGATGCTGGATGTAGATTCACTGAGTGCTGACAGTGAGGGGTAGTTGTGTAGAAACTGGGTGTGGTCCTCTGTGTGTGACAGCTTCTTCATCTCAGCGTCTTTCCTCTTCAGCTCAGTGATCTCCTGCTCCATCTTCTCCTGAAGCTCTTTGACTCGAGTCGCTACAGTTTCCTGCTGGGATCTGACCTGCTGCTTCACATCAGAGCTTCTTTTCTGGATGAGACGGATCATCTCAGTGAAGATCTTCTCACTGTCCTCCACTGCTTTATCAGCAGAGCGACTGATAGCCTCCACCTCCCGTTGAAACACCTTCACATCTTTTACTCTGTCCAGGATTCTCTGTTGGATGTTTTGTCGACTCACCTCAAGCTCTCTCTGCCTCTCAGTCCTTTCTGCTGCAGCTGAGACTGTGTCGTGGCCTTTATGTTCCTCCACAGAGCAGAGATAACAGATACACTGCTGATCAGTACGGCAGAACATCTTCATCACCTCATCATGACGAGAGCAGATGTTCTCCTGGAGCTTCCTGGAGGGGTCCACCAGCTTGTGTTTCTTTAACTGAACAACATCATAATGAGGCTGGAGGTGTTTCTCACAATAAGAGGCCAAACAGACCAGACAGGACTTGAAGGCTTTCAGTTTTCTCCCAGTGCAGACATCACAGGACACATCTTCAGGTCCAGCATAGCAGTGATCAGCAGGAGCAGCTTGGAGTCCAGTCTTCTTCAGTTCCTCCACTAAAGCTGCAAACATGGTGTTTTTCACCAGGACAGGCCTCGGTGTGAAGGTCTGCCTACACTGAGGGCAGCTGTGGATTTCCTTCTCCTTTTCTTGATCCCAGTGGGTTTTAATACAGTTCATGCAGTAGCTGTGTCCACAGGGAATAGTCACCGGATCCTTCAGTAGATCGAGACAGATTGAACATGAAATTGTTTCCTGGTCCAGCTGAACTTCTTTCTCTGCCATTTCACCTCTCTGTGGCAAGTGTGTCTCAAAATTACTTCCTTAGAAATGAAACTAGTTTGAGTTGTATTTGAACAATATGTGGTTATGCAATCAGTGGGGGTGTGTCTCTTTATCACATGTTGGTTACACCCATCTTCAAACTGCAGATCTGGAGGGGAGGAAACGAGGAAATATATGGACAGAGTGCACCTGAATATTATGTTTTGCTTTGCCTAGACATGAAAAGAACACGTGTATGAAGGTTTAACACCAGCAGGGGGCGACGATGATAAATAACATGAAAGAAATTACAACCAGGAAAATTAATAACTTCTACTATTCCTAAAAAGAACCTTGACTTACTGAAGTTTAACACCAGTGAACATGATGTATGAATTATAAAGTTTCTAATCACAACACATGTTCCTGCAGTGAATGTGGCCTGTCAGCATCACCAGATATTAGTTACACACATCTTCAAACTGTAGATCTGAATAAAGTTGAGGACAGACTGGAGCTCGCTTTGTTTGACAGCGACATGAAGAGGGAGCGATTATCAATCTTTTCCACATGCCAGGACGAGGAGCCGCACTGTGGATTTGAACTTTGGTTCCTCGTTTATAGTCCAGTGTCAGTTAACCTGTTAACCCTGCAACTTTACCTGTGATGGTGCAACAAATCAATCACAGTTGTCAGGAAACATAATCATGACTGGTTTAGATGCATTTATTTGTTTACAATTGAGGAAAACTCTTCAGCTGTTTTGTGGACTGACAGATTACATCCTGGACTAAATGAGTCACAAGAATTTTGAATCCTGATCCATCGATCCACAACTACACAGTATCTGTTGTCTTATGTGTGTCAGGACCATTGACAGTATATATAAGCTCAGGACTCACACAGGACTGTGTTTTAAGTCTGTGTAGTAAAATATCTTTATTGATTAAGTTCAGGAACAAAATCTTGGTTGTTAAAATCAACAAGTGATAGAAAACTCTGCTCATTTCTCTGTGACAAAGTTGTTTTAGTTTGTAAAGTTGAAAGGACAGAGACCGACTGATAAATGCTCTTCTGCTTTTAAACATGAACTCTGAACTTTGTGGTGTTTCAGGAGGAAAACTGCCTCAGTTATTCTCTCATATTAGTTTCACAGTTTCAACATCAGCTCTGTACGAGGCTCTGGAATGAAGACAAGAAGAAAATACTTTATTTATGTTTGTTTATTCATGATTTAAACCTTCAGTATGTTCACACATCCATCAGTAAAGTCTGTTCAGTGACTCAGATTCACTTCACCCACACAATCAATTTGTTTGATCAGAATCTCAGCAATGTAAAAGACAATAATAAATGATCTCCTTATTGATTATGATCATGATAACTACAGTTTTATACCTCAGAGAACCTCATTTGTATGTTGATTTGAACAATAACAACATTTGGTCTTCCAACAGTTATAATAGATTTCATACAAAATTAAACAAAACTGAGAACAAAATATCTACAATAAAGGAAGGTCTGGAGCTTTCCCTGTAAAGAAACACAAAGTGGAAGAGAAACAATAACAAATACATCATTATAAATATTCAACATTCAGAGCAAACAGAAGTTTATATTTTCATACAGAGAAATGTCAAATATAATCATGAGCAGTGATAGCCTCCATGGTTAAACAGACACAGGAAGGAGCTCCAACTAAAGAAACTCAAACTTTTACAGAACAACTAATGAGAAGATGTCAAAGTACCACCCACAATGTTTGATTGACAGGTGATCAATCAGCTCTCAGCATAAAAAAATGAAGAAAACGTGACTTTACTTACTAAAATACAGAATTCAACCTTTTGTCACTTAAATGACTTCTGTCTACTTCAGTTTACAGATCTCAGCAGTGGATTCAATATAAGGAAACCAAAGTCCAGCATAGAGAGGCTGAGTGAATGTGGTCTGGACTATGTGGAGGAGAGTCATGGTTTCAGAGATGCTGTAGAAGGACAGAATACCTGCACTGTGATCCAGATACACTCCAACTCTGGAGGACCGAGGACCTGAGACCGGAGTTTGGACATTGTTGTACCAAAACGTATAACTGTTGTTGTTACAACTTAACATCCAAGATTTGTCATTGTATCCAAAAACACATTCATTTGACCATCCTCCTCTGGAGATATTCTTGTACACAACTGCTACACAAACTCCTCTCCCTCTCCACTCCACCTCCCAGTAACAGCTTCCAGTCAGACTCTCGCTACTCAGGACCTGACACAAGTAAGGGAATCTGTCTGGGTGACTAGAATAAGACTGATGTTGACTCATTACTGTTGCTTTTCTGTTCCCCTCAGATAATAACAGCTGTGTGTGAGCTGTGTTTGGATCCAGTGTGATTTCACATAAATATCTTAAGAATCTAGCTCTGGTCTTGGGCTCTGGTTGTGGCAGTAAAACATCCACTTCAGTCACTGTCAGTGAGACGTTTGTCCATTTCTCCCTCAGAAGGTCCTGTAGTTTATCTCTGAGCTCTGAAACAGCCGCTGTCACATCCTCAAAGTACCTCAGAGGACGGATATTGATGCTGGATGTAGATTCACTGAGTGCTGACAGTGAGGGGTAGTTGTGTAGAAACTGGTTGTGGTCCTCTGTGTGTGACAGCTTCTTCATCTCAGCGTCTTTCCTCTTCAGCTCAGTGATCTCCTGCTCCATCTTCTCCTGAAGCTCTTTGACTCGACTCACTTCAGTTTCCTGCTGGGATCTGACCTGCAGCTTCACATCAGAGCTTCTTTTCTGGATGAGACGGATCAGCTGAGTGAAGATCTTCTCACTGTCCTCCACTGCTTTATCAGCAGAGCGATTGATAGCCTCCACCTGCTGTTGAAGCTCCTTCACATCTTTCTCTCTGTCCTGGATTCTCTGCTGGATGTTTTGTCGACTCACCTCGAGCTCTCTCTGCCTCTCAGTCCTTTCTGCTGCAGCTGAGACTGTGTCGTGGCCTTTATGTTCCTCCACAGAGCAGAGATAACAGATACACTGCTGATCAGTACGGCAGAACATCTTCATCCCCTCATCATGACGAGAGCAGATGTTCTCCTGGAGTTTCTTGGAGGGGTCCACCAGCTTGTGTTTCTTTAATGGAGCTGCATCAAAGTGAGGTTGTAGGTGTTTCTCACAGTAAGAAACAAAACAGACCAGACAGGACTTGAAGGCTTTCAGTTTTCTCCCAGTGCAGACATCACAGGACACATCTTCAGGTCCAGCATAGCAGAAATCAGCAGGAGCAGCTTGGAGTCCAGTCTTCTTCAGTTCCTCCACTAAAGCTGCTAACATGGTGTTTTTCACCAGGACAGGCCTCGGTGTGAAGGTCTGCCTACACTGAGGGCAGCTGTGGATTCTCCTTTCATCCTCTTTATCCCAGTGGGTTTTAATACAGTTCATGCAGTAGCTGTGTCCACAGGGAATAGTCACCGGATCCTTCAGTATATCCAGACAGATTGAACAAGAAATGGTTTCCTGATCCAGCTGAACTCCTTTCTGCGCCATTTCACCTCTCAGTCACAACGACTGCCTGAGTTTCACTTATTTAAAAATGAAACTAGTTTGATCTCTGATCTAAACAGCATGTGTTTCTGCAGCGAATGGGGCCTGTCGGCTCTTTCACGTCACCACATGTTGGTTACACCCATCCTTCAAACTGTAGATCTAAAGGAGAGGGAACAAGGACATATGTGGACAGAGTGAAGCTCGCTATGAGCAGGAAGAAGAGGGAGGAGTTATCAAACTGTCATTCAGTCCAGGAAGAGGAACTGTTTCAGAGAGATACTGTATGTTTAATATTTCTCTTTTAGAAACACTGGTCACTTCAGCATTTTGGAGGTAAACTCTTCTCAGAATCAGAGGGTTTGGAGGTGACTCCCCAGTTCTCAATGTCACTAATATGTCCTGTAACTCAGTTAAATAAAATCTTTAAATGTTTAGAATAATTCAACAAATCAAAAACAGATAACTGACTTTGGATTTTCTGATTTTCTAACTCAAACAGTTGAAGCCTCATATTATATTTCCATGTCTGTGAATTTTGTCCTCAATGTCTTCACTGCAGCCAATGGGGACAACAGTTTATAGTTCAATGCAGACAGTTTTTGTTATAATATTTAAAGAGCCTTTTTGTATTTTCATTCTGTGAGTGTGAATTCTACAGGTTGCAGATAACAAAGCTCTCGTCCAGGGATCCATTGAGGAGACCACAATGGGAATAAATGGAAAGCAACGCCTTGAAGGACTTTGGAATAAACTATAAACCATGCTGGAAATCAGTAATGTACGGAATCATGACCGGACACAATAAACCACTTGACCAAACTGAACTACTCCAACTCATAATAAGCATTGTCTGTTTCAAACTCTGGAAGACAAGAACTGCCATGACCCTTCCCCAGACTGTTATTGACAGCAAGACAGTCACAAAACAAATACTCACAGAACTCAGGAGGAGGAAAAACCTGGACAAAAACTTTCTCCTCTCATGGAACATTTTAAATATATAAATCAGCACCTGGAGAAAAAAATAAAAACTCTGACTTAATGAACTTTGTGAACTAAATGCACTTTAGCACTTTTTGCACTTTACAAGATTTTATTGAAGCAATTTCCTTGTCTATGTGATCTATTATATGTGTAAACCATAATAAAGTTGATTAAAAATGAAAGCAACCCAGAGTCCAGGATCAGTATCAAAGATCAGTGTGATGTTACAAAAGTGTGATGGCTTCATCTTTTGGATGATGGACATTATTGCTCCCTCTGCACTTGCACTGATGTTGGACTCCATGTGTTATTCATTCAAAGAGATGCTTTTAAAGTTTTCTTTGTTGTTGTTGTTGTTTCTTTTAGACAGTGATAGTGGTTCTCTGAGCTTTTAACTTTGGTGGATATCAGGGGTATAAACAGACATTTTAGACTCAGTGATAGGTTAAATTCCAACCTATATATAATTCTATCCAATTATTTACGAAAGTGCCACAATAATGTAATATATTTGAGTTCAAATATCTTCATTTGGGGGATTTTCCAAAGAAATGTTTTTGTTTATGATTAAATCTGTCGATATGTCTGCCACCCCTTAAAGTCTCAGTGCCACCTTTCTGCACATTTTACACCCTAAAAACCAACAAACAAACAAAAAAAACCCCAAAACATTAAAAAGATTATGCACACAAAATTATGACATCAAATATCAGGGTTCAATAGCATTAACCATTATAACCCAATATGACTGAAATCTGCTTTGCATCTTTAAAGTAAAGATCACTTTGTCCATTACATAAATATACTTTATAATATCAATAAAGTCTTGTATTAAGGGCGGCTCAGGCTGTAATCACTTTCTTGTTATAGTTTTCTTTTTAAACAAATACTCAGTACTAGTTGAAGAGGTTCGATCACTACACTCCTCTGGGAAGTCTGACACATATTTATATACAGTACATCTGATCATTATATATATTTTATGTTTTGTACAGACAGGAATCACACTTCAGCGTTCAGTTCTCATTATATCAGTGAATAATTTAAGTTTTATTGATCAGTGTCGACACAGTTCTTCACACAAAAGGATCCATATGAGGACGAACATCAGATACACAACCCAAACCTGAACTTCAGTAGCTGGTAAAACAAACTAATATAAGAAGAAAATACACAAGAACAATGTTAAATCATTTGAAAAACAGCTTTTTCAAAATTAAAATGAAGGAGGGCAGTAAACACCCTGATGAGTGAGAATCATTAGCCAAACTACCACCGGGAAAATCAATCGTTTCCTAAAAGGAGGATTGACCACAGTTTTAAATAAAACATGAGAAACATTTATAAAAGAAACTTCAGACTCTCCAATAAAAGTATATTTTCATAAGAGACTTAAAACAGATCACTGACTCAGCCTCTGGAACAAACAGAAGACCTCTGCACCGAGCATCTGAAAGTTTGAGCCGGCATTAACAGGTCGGAGATATAGCAGGCGGACAGGCCATGAAGAGCCTTAAAAGTAATCAATAAAATCTTAAAATCAATTCTAACAACATACTGGGAGCCTGTGTAAAGAGGCTGAAGATATGTTATGTTTTATATCCATCATGTGACCAATGATTAAAAACATATATGCTTGAATAAGTTGATTAAAGTTGCATTAGCAAATAAGGATGATTGAGCACCATGTAATAAATAGAAGGCTAGTATATTGCACGAACTCTGTAAGAAACAGGATGAATGAACAGCAAACTCACAGCAACGATTAGGGCCACACTAATGACAGTTTCTCCCTGCAGCCGTACAACAGGATCTTGAGATATAGGGAGCGCCACATAATCATGCAAAACAAGTCCATATTGTGAAAGATTTTGCGAAGATTAGATAGTGTTAATCAATCTGTTGCAGAGAACAGGCGTATTGTCTATTTGTATGTGAAGTTTCAGATCACAACCGGAGGCGTCAGCATGACCCAGAGCTCTTTAAACGTTGCACATTCTACTGGTGTTAAGAATAAAGCTGATTATTGAGTAAACTAAATCTTCTCCTATTGCTTCATTAAAAGAACACGCGAGGATAAGGGTTTAAAGAGATCGCTTTCCTCAACAAGGCTAAAAACAGGAGTGATGTGATCGTGTTTCTGGGTTCTAGTTAAAAGCCCGGCAGCTGAGTCCTGTGCAGTCTATAGTCGATCAATAGATTAATGGTTCAGGCAGGTAAAAAGGCGAGTGCAGTAATCAGTGTGTCACTGAAGAAGACAACATCATCTACAAACACAGCACAACCAGAGACAAACCTTCCAACACAAGGTTCATCAGCCGCCGGCCATCTGTCTCTCTCTCTCTCTGTCTCTCTCTCTGTCTGTCTGTCTCTCTCTCTGTCTGTCTGTCTCTCTCTCTCTCTCTCCCCAACTGGTCGAGACAGACGACCACCCACCTAGAGCCGAAGGATCTGTCCTAGGTTTCTGCCTTTTAACAGGCAGTTTTTCCTTGCCGCTGTCTCCAAGGTCTTGCTCATGGTGGTACTGTTGGGTCTCTGTAAATGATGTTTTAAAGAGTTCGGTCTAGACCTGCTCTATTTGAAAAGTGTCCTGACATAACTTCTGTTATGAATTGGTGCTATACAAATAAAATTGAATAAAATTGAATGTGTGGCAAAGGAGACAAATTTGTTTTTTGTGAAACTGTTGACTTTCCTGAAATCAGTGCATGGCTGAAAAGTGGAAGTCACCAGTAAACACAGAGACGCCCAGTTTGAATTGGAGGTAGCTGCTATTATTATGCTATTAATATTGCTAATGAATGCTATTATTATCTAGCATGTATTGTACCTCTTTGTCCAATTGTGACCTCTTATCTGGTGTAACACAACTAAAACCACCCTGAGCAGCAGGACAAATACAGGTCTGTGGAGCTGTGAATGTCTGTTAACTGGCTGATTTAAGGTGCGTATAATAAAACTTTTATTATACTTTTTCCTCAATTTCTAACAAGCGTTTACCTAAACTTAAGATACTTTATCGAAACTCTTAACACAGCAACACACCTACCTCGCACAATCAGCCAAAAAGTACATTTTCTGCTCAAAACCACATTTTGTTCTTTAAACACCAACTCTATATTTCAAAATGCAAAAAATATTCTCTATATACACAAACCTATCAAAACACAGCAAACCTGACTCAAAATCAAATCATTCTGATAAAACACTAGCACGTTTTCTTTCCAAGAGGAACAGATCAATCAATCATAGCACAACAACTTTCTAAATACAAACAGTTGATAGCATTACAAAAACTCCATTACTTTCCATGTTTCAGCTCTACCTGCAAACAGCAGACAATAAGAAATCCATTGTTTGGTTTTAATTCAGTTTCCTTTTACTGTAAACCACCCTACATTTTAGCTTGAGGGTCGAATGTTGATGTTCGCAACAAACTACACAAAAGTGAATGAGTAATCTTTACTTTATAAAGTGTAAAGATGAAAAAAGTTGTAAGCAACAAAACTGCAGAAGTTAAAGCTTTACTGTATTATCAACATGAAACTGCAGCCAGTGATCAACAAATAATCCAAACTATGTGTCCTTTGGTTTAAAATGTGTCAGAATACTGTCAGATACACAAAATAAACAACAATGCACAGTCCTGTTCTAATCCTTACGATCTTCAGCATTTGGACACATGTTCTCATCCACATCACATCTAACGTTATCTCTCGCTATGCACCTTGGATAGAAACGCTGGGCATGCCTTATCCACCCCTGGCCCTCTTCCTCTCCCTGGCCCAACTATTCATCTTCCTTATCCAGACATTATTCTTTCTTTCTCTCCTCATCTGTGTTGTTCTGTATCCACATGGAATAAACTCAGTCCAGAAAGTCCCCTTTATACTGCATTGTGTATGTAATTGAAGGAACTTCCTCACCTGGCTATGTCTCTGATTGAGATTGGAATTAGCTGTGGTTGATCTATTTTACCCAAATTACAATAAATCAGCTATTTCTCAATGTTTCATTGATACGTTCATTAAGAAAGGCTTATCAGCTGTTTCAATATAGATTTTGAACTTCTTTTGTTGCAGAAGTAGAGGCTTTATGCAATATTTAAGGTTTTGATCATAAGGTCTTTATTTCTGACATGTTGTGTGTAAGCGTTTGTAAATAACACAAAAAACATCCATAGTTTTGGTATTGGGTAAAGAAAAACTTAGCATTGTAGAAATGGGTTAATTGACTGCATATTCTGTGGAAACAACATGAATTGTGTTAATTGTATGGTATGAACAGACCGATGTGAGGCCAACTGTGTTTAGAGTTTAGAAAATGTGACTACAGATTGGACAAAACTAATAAAACTGTTAATAAATCTTTATTTAGGCTCTCCAGCTATGGTAGCCACGAGGACTGTTGCTACGGGAAACGCATAGGTGGCGCTAAACCGTCAACTGTAGCCTGCCTCTGTCTTCTATTACGTCCTCAGTCAGGAGTTAAGTAGTGGGACGGCGGCGAGAGAGAGAACATTCATATTAAACTCTTAATACGTTACAATGAGCGGAAGAGGCAAAGGAGGAAAAGGACTCGGTAAGGGAGGCGCCAAGCGGCACCGTAAAGTCCTCCGTGATAACATCCAGGGGATCACCAAGCCCGCCATCCGCCGTCTGGCTCGCCGCGGTGGAGTGAAGCGTATCTCCGGTCTGATCTACGAGGAGACCCGCGGTGTGTTGAAGGTGTTCCTGGAGAATGTGATCCGTGATGCCGTCACCTACACCGAGCACGCCAAGAGGAAGACGGTGACCGCCATGGACGTTGTGTACGCGCTGAAGAGGCAGGGCCGCACCCTGTACGGCTTCGGCGGTTAAACCGATTCCCTTGTTTCCAACATCAACATCAACAACAACGGTCCTTTTAAGGGCCACAACACCAAAATAAAGAGCTCACTTCCTTTTAATATCACAAACTGATGCTGTTCAATAAAATAACAATCCTATTAAAATTTAATTTCTCTTAAATATCTGCAGAACTATTACAATTGATTAAGTTAAAGTATTGTGCTGATCAAGAGAAATCCATTATATTGCTAAAATACTTCATTATATATATACTTCAATTATGTGTATTAACACTTTTCATACAGTAAAAAATGACTTGTAATAAGTTTATTATACAAAATAGGCAATGATATGAGGAAATAAACAACTATGAACACAATGAAACAATATATAAATTGACTACAGCATAAGCCGTGTCCTTAAAATACTTAAAGTAATAAAAATTGCAATAATAAACAGAAACACAAATATTGGGAATTAACCTCATAGATATATATATATATATATATAGATATAAATATAGTATGGAGATATTCACTATATATATATATATCTATATGATTTATATAGATATAGATATAGATATATAATATAAAGATATAGATATAAATAAATGGATATAGATATATATAGATATATATCTATATATAAATATATTTTATATATATATATATATATATAAAGATATATAAAGTACTGATACATAATACTTGTAATCTTACGTACACATTATTTTAAATATTTTTATAAAGACATAAAGATATTTTATTAATAATCTTTACATATATTTATTGTCTTTGTCACGATGCCACTAAAGATGCTTCATTCCTCCCTGAACATAATAATTCACTTTATTAGTGTTTATCTGTTATATTATTGTTAAATATCACAGTTCTCCACGTGTCTGCGCATGCTCGGTTTCGAACGCGACAGCTCAGCCAATCGTGTGCGAGCAACAGCACAGTGACATTTGCATCGAGCGCATATAAACAGGGAGTTCACTCGCTGTGAGTTTATCCGTTTGAGGAAGTCTGACTGAGAGAGAACATGCCTGAACCCGCCAAGGCCCCGAAGAAAGGCTCAAAGAAAGCCGTGTCTAAGGTCACCAAGAGCGGCAAGAAGAGAAGGAGGAGCAGGAAGGAGAGCTACGCCATCTACGTGTACAAGGTCCTGAAGCAGGTCCACCCCGACACCGGGATCTCCTCCAAGGCCATGGGCATCATGAACTCGTTCGTGAGCGACATCTTCGAGCGCATCGCCGGTGAGTCCTCCCGTCTGGCTCACTACAACAAGCGCTCCACCATCACCTCCAGGGAGATCCAGACCGCCGTCCGCCTGCTGCTGCCCGGGGAGCTGGCCAAGCACGCCGTGTCCGAGGGCACCAAGGCCGTGACCAAGTACACCAGCTCCAAGTAAAAACCCTCCGCTGTTAACAGCAACACAACGGCTCTTTTAAGAGCCACACACCGCTTCAACTCAAGAGCTCAAAGTCCTGGAAGATTAATGTTTACACAAAGCTGTGGAGCTGGTTTCATTTATATTAATGTGATCATTATATAATGAAAATATTTTAATCTATTGAACAGTTGATCATTAATTCTCTGTGCGGTAAAATAGTCCCATCGTTTTTATTCTGGGTGATTCATAGTGTTATAAAAGATTGTAGTAATACAAACATTTATAAAGGATCGATTTCATTTAACTGTGCGTTATTATATTATAGATTAATGCTGCCAATGGGTATTGATCTGAAACTGAAGGTACAGTATTTATTTTCACCACAAGGTGGCGACAGTCACTGTTATATATATTTATCTTTATACTGAAGGTTATTAACTATAATTATCAGTTTCTCCAGGATTTTTTAAAATATTAAATATCTGATTACACATATACTGTAAAAATAGTTGCTATATTTCACTAATAAAATCAATAGCAACTTTGAACATTGCTGATTAAAGTGAGATATAATTATTGCTTTTAGTGATTAAAACTGATAGATAAAAAATTTGTACTTGCACTAAATGTTTGATTTGTTTGAAAACTGTCAATATATATCTGTATTAAACAATCCATGTAAATATATAGAATACAAATTGTTACTGTTTAAAATTTCACCTAATAGAAATACATTGATAATATGAAACTGGAATTTAAGTTTAAATTAATAAATCAGTTGATATCCACAAAAGAAATTAGAGATTTGCAAATTAATTTTAAATTTTTTATGTGGGGAAAAATGACTTTCTTTATAAATTAGCATGGAAATTCAGACCGTTTATGTAATTTCAATGAGTTATCAATGTGTTTTTAAAATCTGTAAAATAAATGGGGAAGAAAACATTTTTAAGACCTCCAACTCCTTTGTACTCTGGTTCATGAGCACTTTATTCATGTTTTCTGATGCACTTTGACACTGGATGCACTTTATTGTGAAACTCTTGTAATATTCTCATGTGAAATCCCAAAGTTGATTTAAAACAGGAAAATCAACACAGTGGCTCCTCTTCCTGGACTGAATCAAAGCTTGATAACTCCTCCCTCTTCTTCCTGCTCTCAAACACAGCGAGCTTCACTCTGTCCACATATTTCCTTGTTCCCTCCCCTTTAGATCTACAGTTTGAAGGATGGGTGTAACCAACATGTGGTGACGTGGAAGAGCCGACAGGCCCCATTCGCTGCAGAAACACATGCTGTTTAGATCAGAGCTCAAACTAGTTTCATTTATAAAGAAGTGAAACTCAGACAGTTGTTGTGACTGAGAGGTGAAATGGCGCAGAAAGGAGTTCAGCTGGACCGAGAAACCTTCTCTTGTTCGATCTGTCTGGATCTACTGAAGGATCCGGTGGCTATTCCCTGTGGACACAGCTACTGCATGAACTGTATTAAAAGCTTCTGGGATGGAGAAGATGAGAAGGAAATCCACAGCTGCCCTCAGTGTAGGCAGACCTTCACACCGAGACCTGTCCTGGTGAAAAACACCATGTTAGCAGTTTTAGTGGAGGAACTGAAGAAGACTGGACTCCAAGCTGCTCCTGCTGATCTCTGCTATGCTGGACCTGAAGATGTGTCCTGTGATGTCTGCACTGGGAGAAAACTGAAAGCCTTCAAGTCCTGTCTGGTCTGTTTGGCCTCTTACTGTGAGAAACACCTCCAGCCTCATTATGATGCAGCTCCATTAAAGAAACACAAGCTGGTGGACCCCTCCAAGAAGCTCCAGGAGAACATCTGCTCTCGTCATGATGAGGTGATGAAGATGTTCTGCCGTACTGATCAGCAGTGTATCTGTTATCTCTGCTCTGTGGATGAACATAAAGGCCACGACACAGTCTCAGCTGCAGCAGAAAGGACTGAGAGGCAGAGAGAGCTCGAGGTGAGTCGACAAAACATCCAGCAGAGAATCCAGGACAGAGAGAAAGATGTGAAGGAGCTTCAACAGGAGGTGGAGGCTATCAATCGCTCTGCTGATAAAGCAGTGGAGGACAGTGAGAAGATCTTCACTGAGCTGATCCGTCTCATCCAGAAAAGAAGCTCTGATGTGAAGCAGCAGGTCAGATCCCAGCAGGAAACTGAAGTGAGTCGAGTCAAAGAGCTTCAGGAGAAGATGGAGCAGGAGATCACTGAGCTGAAGAGGAAAGACGCTGAGATGAAGAAGCTGTCACACACAGAGGACCACACCCAGTTTCTACACAACTACCCCTCACTGTCAGCACTCAGTGAATCTACATCCAGCATCAATATCCGTCCTCTGAGGTACTTTGAGGATGTGACAGTGGCTGTTTCAGAGCTCAGAGATAAACTACAGGACGTTCTGAGAGAGAAATGGACAAACGTCTCACTGACAGTGACTGAAGTGGATGTTTTACTGTCACAACCAGAGCCCAAGACCAGAGCTGGATTCTTAAGATATTCACGTGAAATCACACTGGATCCAAACACAGCAAACACACTGGCTGTTATTATCTGAGGGGAACAGAAAAGCAACATTAATGAATCAACAACAGTCTTATTCTAGTCACCCAGACAGATTCACTGGATGTGGATGCAGGTCCTGAGTAGAGAGAGTCTGACTGGACGTTGTTACTGGGAGGTGGAGTGGAGAGGGGAGGGAGTTTATGTAGCAGTTGCATACAAGAATATCAACAGAGCAGGGAGCTCAGATGAATGTGGGTTTGGACTCAATGACAAATCTTGGGCTTTAAGTTGTGACAACAACAGTTATACGTTTTGGTACAACAAATGTCCAAACTCCAGTCTCAGGTCCTCAGTCCTCCAGAGTTGGAGTGTATCTGGATCACAGTGCAGGTATTCTGTCCTTCTACAGCGTCTCTGAAACCATGACTCTCCTCCACAGAGTCCAGACCACATTCACTCAGCCTCTCTATGCTGGACTTTGGTTTTCAGATTATGGAGACACTGCTGAGTTCTGTAAACTGAAGTAGACAGAAGTCATCTAAGTTTAATCCATAAACATCATGTTTTTGTTGTGGAAAGCTGATTGATCACCTGTCAATCAAACATTGTGGGCGGTACTTTGACATCTTCTCATTATTTGTTCTGTAAATGTTTGAGTTTCTTTAGTTGGAGCTCCTTCCTGTGTCTGTTTAACCATGGAGGCTATCACTGCTCATGATGATATTTGACATTTCTCTGTATGAAAATATAAACTTCTGTTTGCTCTAAATGTTTGTTGAATATTTGTATTGATGTATTTGTTGTTGTTTCTCTTCCAATCTCACTTTGTTCTGTAAGTACAAATGTTTGTGGAAAAGAAAAAACAATTGTCAGAGGACCGAACCTGCTGGAGACATTTCTGTGAGTTTCAATCATTATCACATTTTTTGGGACTTTACAATGTGGTTAATTCCTTTTGGTGGGACATATATAAGGTTGTAAAGGGTTAATATTAATATTATACTGGTTTGACGTACTATACCTTAGTTACCTGTAAACATGACTTAAGTAAGATATAATTCAATAAAATGTATTTGTTCAAAAATAAAAAAACTGTATTGAAATGTATTTATGTAATGGAAAAACTGACCATCAGTCATATTGGGTTATAACTGTTAGTGCCATTGAACCCTGCTTGTTGATTTTATAATTTCTTTGTTGTTGTTTTTGTTGTTCTTTTAGGGTGTAGGCCTAAATGAAGGTCTAAATCTTTTCCTTACCATTGTCACCCAAAGGAAATTGAAATTGAAACTCCTTTATTATCATAGTTTGTTTTGTGTGCTTCATTTTGCTTTGTACTTTTTCTCTTTTGTACAGTTCAGGCTCGTGTATGTACAAAAATATATGAAAGTGTAATAATGAGAAAGTGTAAAACTTAATTGAAATACTGAATCAATAAAAATATCAAGTTTTGATTAAAGTTATAAGGTTACTTGTACTTTGTTTTATTTTGTTGGTCACTGGTGCGTTTAACCTTAAATCAAGTTCTGATTTTATTTTGAAACTCCCGCACAAGTGAAAGCGGAAGCCTTGTCGTTAACGCGGGAACTCGGCGTCCTCTGTTCTGATTGGACGATGGAACTTACGCTCAGCTCATCCAATGAACGAGCGCTCTCCTATATAAACACCTTCCCCCCCCCGTTTAATTTCTTCAGTCAAACCAAAAAAAAAAAAAAGTTGTCTCGGGGAAGGGGGCGGGTAGGGGGGAGAAAAAGACAAAACACCGTCCCCCCCGGCCGGCCCCATTCCCGGTGGGCCGGGGCACAGGCGCCCGGGGAGGGGAGGGGAAGGGGGGGGGCCCGGCCCCGGGGGGCTCTGGTGGTGGTGGGGGGGGTTGGGACCTGGCCGCCCAAGTCCGGGGGCGGCCCGGAACCCCCCCCCAAGACACAAAAAAACCCCCGCACCCCCCCCCCCCCCCCCCCCACCCCCCCCCCCACAACAAGGGCCCAACCCTCCGGGGGGGTTAACCTCCCCCCGGGCCGGCGGCCCCCCCAAACCCAGGAGGCCCCCACGACCTAAAAAACCAAAAAAACGCCCCAAATAAAAAAAACACACCCCCCCCCAACAACACACTTCCTTTAAACACCCCCCCCCCCCCACTAAAAAAAACCATAATATAATTTTAAAACCTTAAATAAAAAATTAAAATTTTTATATAAAATTTCCTAAATAAAGTATCACTACATCCTCTATAATATATTACATTAATCTTTATCAGTCTGTTAGTAAGATGTTACTGCATACAGCCTGATAATAGGCTGATATGACCTTGATCTGCTGTAAACTAATCAATATACCTTATTGATTACCCTGAGATGAGATCAATGTGATGGAAACTGACGTTTTTGGCTCAATTCAGCAGCTTTCTGCTGTCGACTGTAGCTGGAAGCTAGATTTGGGTAAAGGACAGAAACCTGTCAGTCAAGGCCTTAATAGCCTCTTAATGGTTTATAGGAGTCCCTGCAATGTGTCATCATACACCTGTTTACAGTTGGACAACATGTTCACACACATAAGTGAATTATTGACTGTGGGAAGAGTTAATAATGAAACAAAGTCCACTTGCTGGCTTTTCCAGATCTTTAAAGTATGGTGTCTTTGAATTTCTTGAAAAACGTTCTATAAATTAAATTTATTATTATTAGTAAAAGGGGACGTATATGAACCACACCTGATGGGGTTGAAAGCTCTGGAGAAAGTGAACAGATAGTTTCCTGCTCTCTGCTTCATCACACTGAACCACATGATGTAAAGTTGAATTGCCTGAAAAACACTTTTGGAGAAGTTGATTGAGCTCTGCTGCTTGACTGAAGTGACGTCTGGGAAATGTAGTGAGCTTCCAACACCAACAAAGGAAACAATATAAATAAACAATATAAATAAATAAAAGTGAGGGAACTTATTTTGTTTTCTCGAGATAATGAAATAAGTAAAGACAAACATTAATTATCACAAGGAAACAATCTTGGTCATGTAGATAACTAAATAAGTCGTCATCACGAGATAACAGTGCATTAAAATAAAAATAACCCATGGCCGTTCTGCTTCTGTACTTGTTGGTTATTGTTCAGTTTTATAAACGTTTACCGCTTTGTGCTCAGCTGTTTCTGTTCATGCAATACTGAATAAAGACTTTATACATTCCTCAGTTACAATAATGTTTAAAGTAATAACTAATGTAACTTGTATTTACTCATGTTGGTCAATAAAACTGCTACTGAACCCAGATGAGTTTATTTAATCTGCAGAATGTGACAGTAAACAACCTCTTTAACCTCAGACTGTACATTAGAGATATTAGACTTTATACTATATAATAATGTTAATATTGTAATAAAGATGTGTTTGAGGACTGCTGCTCTCAGGGAGTTTATGTGGCTCTGAAAAGAGCCGTTGTGTGTTGGT